TGGGTTATTTTTAAAGTGCTAGAAAATCAACCTCAAAAGACTAAAAGATTTGCAATTTGAGTTGAATTATTGGAAGGGTCCTTGAAATGTAACATCTCATTTTCAAGGGGATGCTGTTAATTTAGACAGGGTGTAAATAACCTATAGTATAATTTGTCCTGGTTAAAACCTCTTGTGACATTTTTTAATACAAAAAATATATATTATTATTTTTATATTGCACTATTTTCTGTTGTTAACCATTAACTTATGCATTTATGTTTAGCGCTTTTATTTTGAAGGGTTTATTTTCCTTGACAATGCGAACGGAAAAACATTATACGGAGCAAATGTATACATATATTTTTTTTAGATATTTTTTATGTCTTTGTTTAGCTTCCCCTCAGAAGAAGCACAAAGTTATTGATTTATTATTATTTTTATATATATATATAACTTTGTTTCTCTAGCTGTTATTGTTGTTGATTGATGTTGATTGAAGATGAAAGTAAATAATAATCAAAATTGCGTTGAGTTTTGTGTATGCGTATATACACACTGTATTTTGTATTGTATTTATGTATTGGATTTATTGCCATTAAATCTAAAAATCGCCAGTTCAAGTGTCATTCCCGCTACACAGGGAAATCCAAATACTGTTCCCACTGTTACAGATTATTATATTGTATAAAGATTTTTTTATAAACATTTTTAGTGACTAGTCAAATGATTAATTCTTTGTACATTAAAGGGATAGTTTTGAGGGTGATGGTTTTGTGATGCAAATGTATCACTCTTTTGAACATATATTGTTTTGAGAAGAAAAATGCTTTATTTTAATGTCCACAGCCAACTTGCCGGACTACTTTCGTCAGCACCGAAAACGGCCAGTATCTCGGCTCACCGGACGCTGTCGGGGGTAAGTCAGTGTGGATGCACGACACTGCTCACGGGGATGACATACAGATTTATGTCAAACATCCCGAACTATCAGCGATCACACGAAAATGGCTCCAGGAAAAACCTCCTACTGTTTCAGAATGGACTGATATAATCAACGAAATTCAGATTATGGAACGAATAACATTTTCTTTAAAGGTTGTATAGAGGATTTTATAAGGAACGAGAAATCCAGCAACTGTTTGTCCTTTTTCAAATGTTGCGCATGCGTGAAACCCCCCCCCCTCCCCTACAGCTCCCTACGTAGAAACGCCTCCTCCCGCCTCCTCCTTACGCCAGAAACAGGTTTGTTTACAGCCGGTGAGCTGCACATGACTTGTAAACAACTAACTACAGTGTTGGTTAGGCAAGACGGAGAAGTGAGGAGCAGGGAGAAGAG